ATACTGGTCGTAACATTAACATAATAGACCATACTGGTCGTAATATTAACATAATAGACCATACTGGTCGTAATATTAACATAATAGACCATACTGGTCGTAACATTAACATAATAGACCATACTGGTCGTAATATTAACATAATAGACCATACTGGTCGTAATATTAACATAATAGACCATACTGGTCGTAATATTAACATAATAGACCATACTGGTCGTAATATTAACATAATAGACCATACTGGTCGTAATATTAACATAATAGACCATACTGGTCGTAATATTAACATAATAGACCATACTGGTCGTAACATTAACATAATAGACCATACTGGTCGTAACATTAACATAATAGACCATACTGGTCGTAACATTAACATAATAGACCATACTGGTCGTAACATTAACATAATAGACCATACTGGTCGTAATATTAACATAATAGACCATACTGGTCGTAATATTAACATAATAGACCATACTGGTCGTAATATTAACATAATAGACCATACTGGTCGTAATATTAACATAATAGACCATACTGGTCGTAATATTAACATAATAGACCATACTGGTCGTAACATTAACATAATAGACCATACTGGTCGTAACATTAACATAATAGACCATACTGGTCGTAACATTAACATAATAGACCATACTGGTCGTAACATTAACATAATAGACCATACTGGTCGTAACATTAACATAATAGACCATACTGGTCGTAACATTAACATAATAGACCATACTGGTCGTAACATTAACATAATAGACCATACTGGTCGTAACATTAACATAATAGACCATACTGGTCGTAACATTAACATAATAGACCATACTGGTCGTAACATTAACATAATAGACCATACTGGTCGTAATATTAACATAATAGACCATACTGGTCGTAACATTAACATAATAGACCATACTGGTCGTAACATTAACATAATAGACCATACTGGTCGTAACATTAACATAATAGACCATACTGGTCGTAACATTAACATAATAGACCATACTGGTCGTAACATTAACATAATAGACCATACTGGTCGTAACATTAACATAATAGACCATACTGGTCGTAACATTAACATAATAGACCATACTGGTCGTAACATTAACATAATAGACCATACTGGTCGTAACATTAACATAATAGACCATACTGGTCGTAACATTAACATAATAGACCATACTGGTCGTAACATTAACATAATAGACCATACTGGTCGTAATATTAACATAATAGACCATACTGGTCGTAACATTAACATAATAGACCATACTGGTCGTAATATTAACATAATAGACCATACTGGTCGTAATATTAACATAATAGACCATACTGGTCGTAATATTAACATAATAGACCATACTGGTCGTAATATTAACATAATAGACCATACTGGTCGTAATATTAACATAATAGACCATACTGGTCGTAATATTAACATAATAGACCATACTGGTCGTAATATTAACATAATAGACCATACTGGTCGTAATATTAACATAATAGACCATACTGGTCGTAATATTAACATAATAGACCATACTGGTCGTAATATTAACATAATAGACCATACTGGTCGTAATATTAACATAATAGACCATACTGGTCGTAACATTAACATAATAGACCATACTGGTCGTAACATTAACATAATAGACCATACTGGTCGTAACATTAACATAATAGACCATACTGGTCGTAACATTAACATAATAGACCATACTGGTCGTAACATCTACATAATAGACCATACTGGTCGTAACATCTACATAATAGACCATACTGGTCGTAACATCTACATAATAGACCATACTGGTCGTAACATCTACATAATAGACCATACTGGTCGTAACATCTACATAATAGACCATACTGGTCGTAACATCTACATAATAGACCATACTGGTCGTAACATCTACATAATAGACCATACTGGTCGTAACATCTACATAATAGACCATACTGGTCGTAACATTACATAATAGACCATACTGGTCGTAACATTAACATAATAGACCATACTGGTCGTAACATCTACAGAATTTGTAGGTTGTTTGTGGCCTATGTTCTCCTATTCCACATTCCATAACATGGCCATACATAACATGGCATTTATTCTCATTGAATTCCATTTGCCAAGTATTGCTCAATACACTTTGTCCAGGTCACCTTGAAGGGCGCGACTATTGTCTAAGTCTCTTATCTTCCCAGCTGGTGACTTTGCATCATCACCCTAAATGTTCGTGTTACATTGCGCGTGCGTGCGTGTGTCTGGTGCAACATTGCGTGTGCGTGCGTGTGTCTGGTGCAACATTGCGTGTGCGTGCGTGTCTCTCGTGCAACATTGCGTGTGCATGCGTGTCTCTCGTGCAACATTGCGTGTGCGTGTGTCTGGTGCAACACTACGCTCATTTTACGTTGATTCTACTTTATAAAGCTGGGCTTTTATTGCAACTACTTTTAAAGCTGTGCTGGTTTGTGGTCGACCAGGTTTTCCTTCAGTGTTTGATGGCTCGTGCACAACACCAACACCAACAGTTGGGGAATATCAGGAAATACTTCTACAGGACCACTTCCGTACACTCCTGAGACTCAGTTATATCCCCAGTCCAACTGTGTCCTGAAGTTCCCTCCCTCCCATTTCTCTGGATTTTCAATCTGGCGGTGAAGAGACTAAGAGCGCAGCCGCTGATATACGCAATACGTCAGGTGTCTCTTTCAGTGTCTTGGGTTAGACTCCATCTGGCCCCATAACTTTCATCCCATCCTCTGTGGTCACTTCTGCTCCTTCAGGATCGTCCACAGTTCTCGTCGAAGATTATAAACTTTCTGGAATCTCTTATTTAATATTTCAGGCAGCTTTTCTCTCACTTAATCTGACTCTCAAGGTATTGACAAGTTACTGACTCAAGTCTTCCTCCTCATGTCGCTGTGTCATTCTCACTGTGTCTCAACTGCTCGTCTAATTCTTACATGTTATTCCTTTTCATTTTCTAGTTGTGTCAAGACTTCTTGCTCCTTCGATTTTCCTCAAGACAGTGTTCCCCACTTGTCCCAGTGTTGTGGTGTGTTACACCAAGTCCGTCGACTCCTGTCTTGGTGTATCTGTCACCATTATTCCTGGTTTCTGTCCTGGTATCTGTCCACCATTATGCTGGTTAGCATTGTAAATGTGTGGCCACGTCTGTGGTAGAAAATAATAATAATAAAAAAAAATTATTCCCTTTATTATCTTTTAATGTTGTTCCATACGCCAATTTTCAGGAAGTTATCACATGTTCCGAAGTGCAGTATTAATTCAATATTTTCCATGTCTACTTTATTTTGTGTAAATATCAGTTCTTGTTTAGCTGAGAGATCTTCATCGTAATGCCCTCTTAAAATGGTGTCAGGAAATTCCTCTCTGTTGTTACTCAAAATTCCTATTCCTCTTCTTGATGCGGGTCTACCAATTTCAGATCCATTTTCCCCAGATTGTAATCCTCCGTGA